CAGGACACAGTCTGATGTTTCAACTACGAGTTTTATCATCAGCTCACAAATTAAACAGTACATTTATTTATTTAACTTCAGTTAAGGAACTCTCTGGGATCAACAGGCAGCAGCAGGAGTCAAGGGAGGTGAGTGGAGCACAGATATGCGAAAGAGAGAGTCCTATAATGCTATAATCCTAAGTGTTTACATATTAAATCTTTTCCTCTCTTAAGGGACGACGACACGGACTCTGATGGTGACTACGATGATGTTGATATGTAAGAACGGCACCTAACAGCCCTTTTTACCCTCTCGTTTCGTCAATAATCCGCTGTGTGACTGTGACTGAACTCTTTCCTTTGTCTCGTCTTCTTTAGCCCGACCATAAAAGCCACGAGGTGAGCAGGATAAGATGCTCTTCTAGTCAATGCGTTTTAGTTTTTACACAATCAGCCAGTCTAACACTTTCTCTGCCGACAGCGACATCAAAAATGACATTCCACCCCCACTTCCACCAAAAGTGAGTGGACAGGAGTTGAAAACATACAGAAAAATAGTGTGTTGTTCACTTTAATACTGACAAAGATCTCTGCAGTTTCTTTTATTTTTCATTATGAATTATATGAATTTTCTTTCATTCCTAAATACAAAGTAATTTTTTTTATTCTGTGTCAAAACATTTTGTTTCGTCATGTTCACACATTTTAGCCCAAAGCTCTGACGAGTTCGGAGGAAAGCATCCCAGGAGAAGATGATCGGTTGAGGAAGCCCTGCTCTATGTACAACCCTGCTCTTATTAGGACCTCCAGTGGTACTCATGTCCGGCCCACTCTAAAACCACGAGTGTCACGAAACTCAGGTGACATCTAAAAATTCCTCTTCCTTGCATTTTTGAGTACATTTCATATTCTTTTATTGTAGAAAATAATAATAGTAATAAGATGTACAGGCCTGAAGGTACATGGCCCATCATGTTGCAGTGGATTGTGATTGTGTGTGTTTGTGTGTGTATCGTAGACCCGGCATATTTTCCTGCTCAAACACACAACAGCTTACCCGACGTTGTTCCACCTATTCCTCCCAAAGGAATACGCAGACGGCAGCCTCCATCAAAGGTGGAGCAGCCAATAAAAACTACTTGTCTCCCTTTCTTTTTAAACTAGTAAAACTGTAAATCAGATGTGTATTTAATACTTCTAAAACATTGAACCGTCTCTGCCCACAGGATACTGCCGAGTGTGTCAGCCCTGTCACGAAGAAACCTCCCGTGAGTCTTTTCACTTCTTAGACTATATTTAATCTGTTTATTGCACACGCAAGTGTGGTGTTTGTTATCTGAAAACTGAATATTTATTCCAGAAGATTATTATTAAATTATTATTTTTAGATTTTTTTTTTTGTAAATATCTGAGACACACATCTGATGTCCAGTCCCTTAAGATGTTTTAAAAATAAAATAAATAGAACATAGTAAATAAGTATTCCCCAACTAATTCTGGTATATACTGTATATATATTGAAAAACTTGTTGAAGCTCACTTAAAAACAAACAAACTGTACTCACTGATCCATGAAAACACGTATACGATGAACAGCCGCTTCGTCGAACCTTCTTTTTCGTGAGAACAGCGAGGTGAAATGGGAAACCAACGTCGTAGACGACGACAACGGCGGGAAGTTCCGAACACCCTCTGCAGCAGTAACTGCAACCTTGGTAGCAGCAGGATTCAACCCGAAACTACACAGAAATGTACACCAATCATAACTAAACAATAACACTAAACTTTTCTCGACATTCATATGATTACCAATTCAAACAACGTTCGTACTCACTCAGTAACTTGGCGCAAAACACATCGCCTCGAGAGTCTCCTTCATGCAACTAACGACAGAGAGGCTAAAACACTAGCTGCCCAACGAGACACTCGTGTTTCTCTTGCGTTCGGTTTTCCCTCTCTTTCTTTATCCCACCGAGTTTCGCAGAATCCTATTGGTGGTTTACAATCATCTCCGACAGGCACTAATTGGTTAATAACAGATTAACTGAAAGACTGACACCTGTTTACCCAAATAAACATCAGAACCGGTATGAAACATTCAAAGACATGAAAAAAGCATGGGATATTTTAGTATCTTTCGAAATAAATTGTCTACAATACGTTTAACTAAATTAACAAACACCCGTTTATAGATCCCGAACGGTAACATTTGTAGCTGACTACAATTATGACATTTCGTCTCTTTATTCCAAGGTCTACTTTAAAAAGATTTTCTATGGCTGCCCTCTGAAAGTAAACTGCTCTACAACTTGGGAAAACTCAGCCACCAAAGGTAGTTTAAGCAACAAGCTTTCAAATGTGTTAGCCATGTCATTTTAATAATGTTCTCAATCCAGTCTGAACAGCATTTGTCTTCTTCTACATCAGAGCAGCACCTCCTCTTGGGTGCAGAGGAAGGAATCTACACCATGACCCTCAACAGCTCTGAGGCCACCATGGAGCTGGTAGGACCTCTTTTTCCTACAAATGATTCAAACTTAGGGGTCATATAGTAGAATGTTGGTTAGTGCTGTTACCTTTAAGCAAGAAGATCACTGATTACAGTTGATTCCTCAGAGTTATTCTGAATTAAACATAAAGGTATTTTCTCTCTATCTGTGTCTTTCAGTTGTATCCAGGAAAATGCACCTGGGTCTATACCATTAATAATGTCCTCATGTCGGTGTCAGGTAATTAAAAAAAATGTATACAAGTCTCTTTTGAAAGTATAAGGTTGCTGAATGACCTGTATCTTTATGGAATGTTGCTGGAATTGAGTTTGAGTTGACAAAGCAGAAAACACTTTTATTTTCTTTTAATCAAACTATTTTTCCATTGATATTTAAAAAAAAATTTTTCTTCGAGTTTTCTGTTAATTGTTTTCTGTGTTTATAGGTAAATCATCACAGCTTCATTCACATTCCCTAAAGGAGTTGTTTGAACAAGCTAAGAAAGACCAGAGGATGGTTGCCTTGCCAACTCACAGACTGCTGCCAAGGTAACACTAGAATATACCTGCAATTATTCTGCATCTCTTACTCTGTGTTAACTAAATGAAAAGTTTGCCTTAAAAATGAAAACCAAAGTCACTTTGACCAAAACATCGACTCCTATTTATCTTCAGGAAATGTGCAGTGACGAGTAAAATTCCAGATACCAAAGGCTGCAAGACATGTTCAGCTGGTGGTGAGACCCCACAATGCATTTGTACAACCGTGCTGTTTCACTGTTGTGTCATGTTCTGCAGTCCCTTCAGTATGTTCTTCCTCATCTGTGCAGCAGATAACCTGCAGCAGGGATGTGTGTTCCTGTGCTGTGCTCTGGAGTCCAGTGTGGTGCTGCTGCAGTGGTACGAGCCTATGCAGAAGTTCATGCTCATTAAGGTATGAACCGCTATTTATCAAAAGTCACTTTCTGAATCCTTGATCCTCAGTTGTCGCGTGTGTTTAAATGAAATGGTATCTGCCACAAAAAACAACCAAAAACCACATCCCAGCCCAGACTTGACCCTGCACATTCACACATGCTCTGAAGAAACACCAAAACCTGCTGCTCTATTAGGATTAAGTAGGATCATACTCTACACTTCTCTCCTTTTTCTGCCTACAGCATTTTGACTTCCCCCTTCCCTCCCCTCTGCGGGTGTTTGAGATGATAGTAGCTCCACAGGAGGAGTATCCTCTGGTGTGCATCGGTGTGTCTCAGGGCTCCAGCCCTAACCCTCCAGTCGCTGTAGAATACATGAACCTCAACTCCAACACTTCCTGGTTCACCAGATCCGGTCTTGGTAAGTCCAAACATCATCCAGGTCTGAAGAATACCAAAGAATCTCAGAAAAAGGAATCCAATGAAATGTTCTTTTCTCATTGTGATATCTGTCCCACAGAAAAACCTGTTCCAGACGTGGTACAGGTAAACCAGCTGGATGGTAATTCACTGCTTGTCCTTTTAGAAAGTAAGTGGAACACTGTCTTTGAACTTTTTTTTCTGACTCTGGTTTATGCCTTCTATGTTAAAAGTTTGTAGAGAATGTAGAAAAACGATGTTGACGTTTTATACTTTTTCAGAGTCAGTTTATGTTGTCGATCTGACGGGGGCGCTAAAGAGCAGCAGGTCCCTGTCACTCGAGGCCACCTTCTCTTTTGACGTGGAGTCTGTAGGTGAGAATAAGGGTTGATGAAGTGATGGACATGGACATTGACGTGGTAGTAGTTGGACTCAGGTCATCACTGACTCTGTCCACTTTTCCAGTTTATTTCCAATAGTAGATGGACTCAGGTCATCATCTCTGTCCACTTTTCCAGTTTATTTCCAGGACACTCTGCTGGCAGTGTGGCGTCACGGCTGGCAGAGGAGAGGACACAGTTTTTCTGATGTGCTGGATGAAATTGTTGACCACAGGAAGATCTACAGATTGGTGCAGTCAAATGGGTACAGGGTTTCTGCATTTACTGCCTTTAACTCATGTTTGTGTGCACTACATTTCCCACAGTCTCCCCAGGGGAACTGGGTTCTAGTGCTTCTTCCAAATAATTGGCAACAGTAAGACAAACAAATTACCGGTAGGTGAAAAGTCTACATTAATAACAATTTTCCTTTGGCACAGTGAAAACACAGGGGATACCAAACCAACACAGATATGATTTCAGCAAATAGTTGTTGAGTTTTTTTCAAGGAAAAAAAGTCAAGTCAGATTCAGATTGCTTTTTTCCCATATACACAGGACATACAATTGATTGAAATTGTGATGCCCTATGCCCTACAGTGTGACAACAACTATAGTAAAATATAAAGGATATAAAAATTTGACACAAGGTAAACTAAAAAAAGTGTCTAAACAAAGCTCAGAATGACGTTAACTCTGGTTATTTGTGTTTCAAACACAGGAGGATTGTTTTGGAGACACGTCAGACTGAAGACCAATCAGGGCTGTCCAACCTTTACGTCCTGGAAAATGCAGAGAACTACGTCCTCTTGGCCTGATGTCCCTGTTGGCTTCACAAACTCCAGGCTGCAGTTTTGACTAATGCTTCTACTTGAGACCTTCAGCATTGAATGGAAGACGCATTGAATAAGGCACAGGATCATCTTGACCTCTGATGACCTTGAACGTGTTATTGCCCTTGCATTCAGTGGAACTATGTCTTGACACCATTAACCCCTCAATTAAAGGGACTGTGTTGGGTGTCATATTGACTCTGATGTCGACTGTTGGATGAGAAACTATCTTCAGATTCCTTTGTAGCAGATTTGATTTCTCAAAAACCGTGGGTAAAGGAGAGTCCTCTTTCAAAACTAAAGAGGATTCTGCTGCTGTATATGGCTTTTCAAAGACGCCACGTACAAGAATTACGGACTCCAGCAGAGCAGCATTGCTTTTTATTGTTTTTGTTTTCTCAAGTTATGTGTTGATGGTGAAATTATGTATTTCACTTTCTGTAATAAAGTTATTAAAAAGAAGATGGGAGTCAATTAAATCAAATTGTGGTCATAGCCTAGCAAAATATGCCTTACCATTTTGAATTATGATTTATTTTATTTTATTTTTGTTGCTTCCTTACTTTTCTTACTTTTCCCCTGTTGGATTAAATGAAAATCAAAGTTTACCTTTCCCCTGTTGGATTAAATGAAAATCAGTTTGGTGTCGGAGCTCCATTGATGATGGCTTTGGTTAAATAATGCCAACAGACCACGGTGCAGTTTTTGCTCCAAGAGGTTTATTTAGTTTAAGAATGCAAACAGGATAAACATAAAAAATGAAAACAATATTTAACTTTTTTTCAAATCATTTCAAATCACCAGAAACATTCAGAGCAAATGTTACAGGTAACAGTTTGTTATTGAAATGTTAATCACAAGGTGAGAGGAGGGGTTGGAGACAGCTAGGAAAAAGCTGTGGCTTTTTGAAGTAAACAAGAAGTCAAATTGAATTTCACATTAAGGTAGCTTTAACGCTCATGTAGTAAAATAAGCAAAGTAGGATGAAAAAAGTGTACTGCTGAGAAATACTACTCTACTCTACTCAGCTGTTATATATAAAACTTAAGACAAAATACATGAGTAATAGTGTTTAATAAGCTCGTACTAACTGTGTCTGCGCTGAAAGGTCATGATTATGGTTTAAACATTGAATTAAAAGGTGCACGAGAATTAAAAACAAACATTTCTGCATCTAACACTTCCTCTATAACCTTGCCTTAGCTCAGAGGGAGTGTTCGATATAAGCCTCGCCCACTGTGTTACATACCTCAGCGCAACAAACACGTTAACACTAAAGTTAACACGAAGATCAATTTCACAGTTGAGAATGTCTGCTAGATGCATTGTTTTAAAAAAATGGTTTAGCACGGGTGTATAAAAAATATGCCACTGCAAAACGATGCCACTGATATTCGCAAGATGCTTCGATTGTTTCGGTTGTTTAAGGCAGTGAGAGCAATTTTTTTTTTAAAAAATGAAAGGAACAACCTCGTCAAAGGTCAACCGAGAATTCTGGGAGTTCCTGCCTTACATGATTATATATAAGCACCAAAACAGATTAGGACATTAGCTGCACAGGTTCACCTGACTGTTTTAACACATGCAGCACAGTTGAATCTTTCACACATTTAGCACCACCTGCTGGTTCTTTTTTGAACAGACTGATGACACAAGGCCCCAAAATGACGCAGGAAACCATGTGACATGAAGAGTGTGTGCAATATTTGAGAAGGAGAAAAGGAACATCACCGACTCTGGTTAATGATAGGAGACAGATAGGAACACATCAGTGACCTCTACTGGTTTAGCTACATGCAGTGAGGTCTGCTAAACCCTTCAGCATGATTACAGCATACAGCATGTGTGAGTCCGTATTCGTCATGACTTTACATGTTTATGGCGTGGTACATTTTTATATTTGTTCCGTCTGGCTGCTGTGTTGGCAGTCCCGCCGTCCCATAGATCAACAGCTCTTCTGTCAGGTCAGGGGTGACAGTGGCGGCGACAGCCCACGACACCGTGGTTTGAACAAATCTCTGATCAGAGCTGGAGAGAAGAAGTTTGAGAAACTTTGTTTCAATATGTTTCTTATATTTTAATGTTTTTAATAAGACAATGTACTGAACTGAGTCCAAATGTAAGCTAGACTCTTAGGTGTTTTTATTTAAATATCAGGGAATATTTTGTAGTTTTTTGGGGCATATTTTTAATAGTTTAATTTTTTATCTTATGTTGAAATAAATAGAATATGGGAGCCATGTGTAGATAATGTAGAGAATCAAAACCTAGTCTTAAAGTGACAGAACTGTTTACGAGGCTCTGGATGAAGGGTCAGGATGAAGTTGTTAATTATATTAAGGAAAAGATAACGAGACACTGACGGGTTATGACCACAGCTGTAGGATCAGGACGGCTCACAAAAAATACGTTTATACTCGTTTGTGTTTACCTGCAGTATCACACAGGCCCTGTATGCCTCCTAACACAGGGTCCCTGTCTGTGAGGAGGTGACTCCGCCCACTTGGTCCCGAGTCTAGCAAAATATCCGATTGGTCGGTTTGCTCCAGACTGTCCTGAACACAGAGAGTTTCAAAAACATCTGTCATTTTCAGTGCATTTTAATTTAAAAAAAAATATTTTGGAGATATGTCTCACCAGCATTTTGTGGCTGAGAAAAATGTCCTCTTCTGTTGACATGGCCTCTTGTTTCTGCCTCTTGTCCTGAAACAGCACGGACAGTGTGTCCTCATCTGCACTGTGAGTCCTGAAGACACAGAGAGACAAAAGTTTTAAAATTCTACAAACATAACGAGAACAAGCTGTCTTCCTATCCTTTAAGCGTCCG